AGTTAAATTATAATATAATACTTACCAACTGGTTATTATAAAGAAATAAAAAAACAAATTATTTAATTAGATGATGTATATTTTGTGTTGTAAAGTTAAATTATAATATAATACTTACTCTCTATGAAATAAAAAAAAATTATTATTTAACTAGATGATGTATATTTTGTGTTGCAAAAGTTAAATTATAATAAAACACTTACCCCCTGATTATTATAAAGAAATAAAAAAACAAGTTATTTAATTAGATGATGTTTATTTTGTTGTAAAATATTTATTTACCTTTATAGAATTTAGCTATTGTTTTATTATAAAGCAAAATATTAAATCATGATGTAAAAAATACTACATATTTTTAAAATAGTTATTTTCTGTGTAAGAAAAAATACCTTCGTTCATTTTTTTTTACTAGGAGCAAGAATTTCCTCAAGACCAGTGTGTTTATTCCTAAGAAATTGTATTGTATTTGGATGTGATTGACAAATAATTAATAATCATTATTGATTTATTGCATATTAATATGCATAAATTTTTTATTTATAGTGCAAGGCATCTAATCCCGCAACTTGATGACAGATTTGAGAAAAATTTCCCCAATTACGTGATTTCCAGTAAGCCGACAGATCACGTGATTATCTTAATCAATCCATAAATGGGAGAAATCGGCAACAATAATGATTAATATATATATATTAATATATATAGTTGGCTCGGTCTGATTTTGGGCAAATTTTAAAAGTATAGAAGTCACTTTCTGTCCTACCTTTTAAAAAAATAGCTTTATTAGTTGATAGAATATGTCTTTAGTTTTAATGTAATAGAGAGATTTTCTCAAAAAAATTATTTGTTGTAGAGTTCTATTCTTTTTTAAAACATGTACTTTACTATGCTCGCGAGGAATTTGTCCACTATGATCATTTCTAAATTTAGGAAAAATATTACCAAATTTAGACTAGATATTGACTATCGTATCTAAATTTGGCAGTAAGAAAACTAAAATCACGTGAAGTCCTATTTTTTGAAAAATTTTATTACATTTTTGAACGAATTACAAAATTGCTATTTTGAAATTTGGCCATATGACGCAGCAATAGGAGGTCTTTAGACCGAGCCAACCATATGATTTTTAGTTAAAAAACAAACACTGGTCAAGATTTATCTTATTTTATGATGATCATTTTATATGTTTTTTTAAATTTTCGGCATTCTCATAATGTTTGATAGTGTCGTGAACTGTAGACTTTGGAATATTAAGTATCTTTGCGATTTTTGAAAGAGAACTACCAGCTATTCTTAGACCTAAAATTTTCCTCGCTCAGCTTCAGTTAATCCTGAATTTTTTGCCATTTTTAAAAATCAAAAAAAATCGTGAAATTTTTTTTGATCTATATAATCAATTTTATTGGTATCAGTTTATTTTTAATAACAAAAATTTCACGCGTGACAGGAACATAAAGTTTTAGTCATTTATTTATGAGGACCTAAACTACAAACTATTAAATTTTTATTGAATTTTATAATATAAGATTTTGAGAAACATAAAATTATTAAAAATTCGCAAAGATAATCCTCGCGATTTATTTGGTGTTCGTTTTTTTTTAACTAAAAATCATAAAAGAAAGACAGTATAATGAAAATTTATATGTAGAGCCGCCAAAACCTAAGCCATATATGGTATAAATTTTATGTACTTTCGTTATGTGGCATTTTGCGTAATTATCAAAAAACATCGTCCGAATACTTTTTGGAGGACAGTGTATCTACAAACTGATGTTATATGTGCTTCTGTCCACCTACAAAAGCCAAAAAAAATTGGTGAAAGGAATGATGATGATGATGAGTATGAAAAAT